CCCCCGAAACGAATTTTTTTTTCCTTCTGTTTTTTTACTTCGGGGGCGTAGCCCCCAGCATGCACACCCCCCCCACCCCCTCACCCGCCCGATCCCGACCCGGGAAGGCCCCCGAAACGCCTCGTACGGCCGTACGTACAGGCCGTACGGACGCCCGGGGGCCCGTATGTACGGCCGTATGCGCTGTACGGACGGGCCGTATACGTACGAGGGGTTACACAGTTCTGAACTTCAGACAAAGTTAAAGAAAACTGAAGTTTTATGCACACGTTTCTTTATTTTAGTCTGAGTTAAGTCCAGAAAGTCAAATAGAAAAAACAATAGGGATGCATGTATTCATGGTCAACCAACCATAGAGAGATGTACACATAGGGGTTCTGAGTCCCGACAGGGCTCCCGCAATCGGTGGGCAGAATCCCCACAGAGTCTTGATGCGGTTCAACGGGTTGCACTCCCGCATGCCGCCTTCCTCTCGTAACCTCAGATTAGGCTTAGAATAAGAAGGGTAGAAGGAGGGGGTTTCAGACGCTCGAGATCCAAGGATGGGACAAACTCAACTCGCGTGAGAGGGCCTTGATGTCTTCCAATCCAGAGGGTTTCGCAATGATGGGTAGAACACGCAACAGTTGGTCAAACTGAAGTCAAACTGCCAACTGTTGACCTCCTGATGACCCTCCAAATTGCAGCAGTAACCCCCTCGCAAAAACTTGATCACCCTCTTCAATCACAATGTCATTCCTCTCTAATTGAAATCCTTCACTCTGCAGTCGAAACGGACCGCGTTCGAATATAGCACACCCTTAACTGAACCGCAGCCAAAACTCAACGATTTCAACTAAAAAAAACTTCACCCATGGTAAGCGTACGCAGCAACCCGGGCACCGTGACACTTCATAGTACCAAACACAAACACCACCGCCCTTCGCCTAGCTATACCCAAAACCAGGTTTAGTAAAACACACAACTACCACGATGAAAAATAGAGGTGCACAACGAGGGGCGGGGCTACGTACAACGCCATGCACAACGAATGCAACACATATGGTTGGAACAATAGTCAGAGCGCCGGAATGTAGAACAGACCAGCAACACAAGTAACTCAACAAATAATTGGTTGACCACAAGAGTAAGAACTTGAGTAGGAAGGCAAAAAGCTCAGTAGTTCACTCCACAAAAATAAACAACATAAATGCATCCCAGAGACATACGGCAACCATATAGTGGTTGCCTTTGCGATAAGTCACAGCCCACCGGGACAAGCTCAGCAAGGTACGTGGCTAGTAAAAACCAAATAGCCATGCAATAATCACCTCAATCAGAAGCACTTCGCTACTTGTGGCAACCTTCCTCAAACAACCCTCCTTCCCTCCAACCAGAATGTCCTCCCACATCGAGCTCACTTAAGAACACGTACGTTATCTCCTAATAGATGTACCGTTCCAATCAAACTCCCCGCCTAGAAATGCCTTTCGCTCGGATCGGGAATCAGCCAGATAAGACAACAACCACAAACTTAAATGCAACGCCCAGTACCCTGCCTACACCTACACTAGCCCTACCACTGTAAGTGCCGACTCGAAACACCCAACAACTGGTGATCGAACTACAAGATGCCAACACTTACATAGGTTGCCACCTTGACCAAGTACGTATCTCTCCTCCCTCCCTCGATCTCTTCTCTTCCTCCGCCTTACCTTTTCTTCCTCTCACGTTCTCTCTCTCTTACGTTACGTCCCCTTACTTTATACACGCATCTGGTCGCCAGCCCGGCTAGATTTGTCCTGAGTAAGACGAAACATGATCACGAGCGGAATCGTGGGCACTATCCCAATCAGCACGACCACAACTACAGTTGGCACAACTCCCCCCAAATAGACCTTCCAACGATGAGCAAAAACTACAGCATGTTCACCAGTGAATTCCCTACGACGATCTCGATGGAACCTGAGTGCAAATGATGACACGCGCAAGCAGGGGTAGATCATGAAGCAGAACGAACGTGGCACGATGAGGCATGTACTCTTGCCTCAACCGTCATTCCTTCTTCGTCGATATCCCATTATTTTCTTCGTTTTCTCTCCACACCTCGCTCTCACACCGTGCTTAATCCAAAGCTCCAGTTCATTATATCTAACTTCCATTCGAATCTCCATCGTCGAGAACCCTCGATCTACCTCTTGCCTGTGTTTCTCCTGATTCCTCCCTGACACAGTCACACAACTCCTTCTGCTGATCCCAGATACCCGCTATTCAAATGCAAAATTTGACGCTACCATCGCCATGCCCGGAAACCTTAGATTCGGCCTTGACCTTGCCCACATCTGTTATGAAACTATGCTATGAATTTTCCGCCCTCGTCACCACCTCCTTCCCCTGTCGCCATCT